TTTTTGCCGGTTGTGGCAACTTTTTTATGATCTTTATCAGTTTATTTGAGACCTTGTTCTGAACGCGAACGTATATTAATAATATGGTTGCGTGCATTCAGAGAGGCAGAGGCCCAGTGTATTCCTCCTTCTCGAAAAAAAAACATCACTAAAGTTCTTACCTGCGCTGATTGTATACAACTGTATGCATGCCCTAAAGGGAATCCGGTACCATGATAAAGTGAGTAAAGGTTACAAACTGAACTCGTATTCATTTGAGTAATTGAGTTTACACAATACAACAATACACAGCACGTCCTTCTAAGAACTCATGTACGTGCATGTGGGCTAAGGCTCTTCCTAGTGCTCCATGGTGGATAGGTGCTAAGCATATGCCACATAAGCGAAGAAATGACATTAAATAAGTAAACCAGGAAGAATCAATGCCAAGCGCGTGAACCTAGGCAAACCACTTAAATGAAAGAAGCTGACCAATGCATGGATGAGTTTATGTGCTAAATTATTAAATAAAGTGAGCTTAGCAACAAGTTAATGACCTGTGCATCGGGGAGTTGAATTGCTAAGCTATTTGATGCACTTAGCACCTTTGCATTGGAAGAGGTCTAAACCAACTGTCCTCGATACTGAGTCAAAGACTAACTGACAAATGAATGAGGCGCCACAGTAAACAATGTAGGAGTATGTACCCTTCAACACATAAAGGATGGGCCGAGAGCCAGCCAGAATGACTAAAATACTCTTCCTAAGAAAAGGCTAATTAACGGGCAAGTGGTCTTAATCGCAGCTGCGGCTAATTGAGGCACTTTGCAATCATTTGCAATCATTTAGTGCGGCTTTTATTTGGAAAGCATAGAAGCACTTTGCAATAATTTGCCCATGATTTTCCACACGAAGATTCATGTGGCATACATCAAATACTATATGGATTGTTTTATAAAAAATAATAAAACTGAAAAACAAAGAGGCTGCCGCCCGGCGGCTAAGGGAGAAGAAGCAGCTCAGACTTGCCCACCACATCGAGGCTCCACGCCCGTCGGCCAGATTGGCGGGAGAACTCAGATCAGATTCTCGCCGGCATGAATCGTGTCGAGGAGAAGTCTGAGGGGGAGAGAAGTGACTCGCATCGAGATGAATGAATGCAAGAGAGAAACGATGAGGTGGGTTTTCTTCCGTTTTATGAAATCCGACGAGGCTAACTATTACTCCCTCCGTTCCTAAATAGTTGTCTTTCTAGAGATTTCAACAAGTGACTACATGCGAAGAAAAATGAGCGAATCTACACTCTAAAATATGTCTATATACATTCGTATGTAGTAGTCCATTTGGAATCTCTAAAAAGACAAGTATTTAGGAACGGAGGGAGTAGTATCGTGTTGGTCTACAGTTGGTATTCCAGTAACTTATATATATAGTTTGCTCACAATCGGGGGTGAACGTTACAGCTGATTGTTACGAGTAACATAGCAGCTTGTCTAAATTAATCCATTTTGCAAATTTGAGATAAAAGGGTAGATGATGAGCAGTTCGTACCTGGGATCAGTAAGTACCTAGCTGCTCCCGGGCGATGCGTCGACGTAATACTGGTTTGTGTTCTGTCTTATGGAGTTGTAGTTGTGTCTGTCCTCGGGATGAACGGACAGGCAGTGTCTAATGGAGATGATGACTATCTATATATATAGTACTAAGCGTGTAGTATATGTTATTTGTGTGAGTGCACCTGACTTTAAGAGGTGCAATGCATATGGAAGAAATGTTGGTGATGCCAAGAACAGTCTTATCTTAATCATGTAGAGGTCTGGCATGCGATGTTTCGATTCTCTTTATCAAAAAAGAGAAATTATATGTCAAATACAGTAGTCTGTATGTAAAGCCTGTCTGTTTTTAGTTATTACTATATGTGAGTACAAACTACATGATACATCATCTTTTCAAGAATATTTCTTCTATTATTACAAGATATATTGGGAGAGGCAGCATGGTCGATTGAAAACTTAGTAATCAAGTCATAACTCAATGCGCTTAAGACACAAATATTTGAAACATAATTACCTAGACATCATGACCACTAACAAAGTGGTTGTGATGGGCTGCTGATTGAGTATTAGCGCGTATGTTTGTAGCGTGTGCGCATGTGGTCAGAGTTAGGGTGCGGTATACAATGCTGGTAGGTAGGGCAGTTGCACGGTTGGTAGCTAAATTAGCTATTTCCTCTTTGACGTGCTCAAAATTTTAGACAAAGGTTGTTTCAATGCTAGAGCAAAATGCTAAGTAGTGCATTTTTATCCCATAAGATTTGAATGAAAGGGGTATTCCACTACATTGTTTCTACCGTTTTCTTCTTCTTTTCGAACTTTCCCGATTTTCATTGCAGAAAACCGATAATACAACCCAGGTTCAAGATGGTTACTACATCATGCACGGAGTAAATTGCTCAAAGCCACCACATTTGTGGCTAGGATACTCCAAAACTATCATTTTTGTCAAAAATCACAAAAAACCACCACTTCTGTGTCAAGTGGATAACAAATGTGATTTTTTTTAATTTTTTGTCATGACGCACAGAAGTGATGGTTTTTTGACAAAAATGGTAGTTTTGAAATGCCCTAGCCACAAATGTGGTGGCTTTGAGCAATTTACTCTCACGCACGCGAAAACAAACATCTACAGTCCAACTACTAGCTCCCAGGAACACTTCCCAGCCAGCAAAAGAACTACTCCCTCCGTCCCATAATATAAAACAAAACGTTCTTATATGGGTGTACCTTTTGACAGTAAAACCAATTACCCACCATGCAGCACAAACATTGAAACGACCATTACAAAGGGCAACCTTTTGATCACAGCCATGAAGACATAGGGAGACAGATGTTTAAGAGGAAGCCCGTGGGAACGTCATCAGCAAAATTGTTTCTACGGTATCACAAGCTTTTACTGTCCTGGTTGGAGTGAATTGCAAAAAACATCGACACTTCAGGCAAGGTTTGCAGAAACCACACATTTACGGAATTGTGCCAAAAAGCACTAATTTTTTTCATAATTTTTTGCAAATAACACTAGTTGGCGGCTTTGGCCGTTTTGATGACGATTATGACAGATGGGTCCCATAAATGATGATGTGGCGTAACTGTTGACAGTTGACGGTGTTAGACGGGAGATTTTTACAGATTTACAAAACAGTCCCTGTTCAAAATTGAAAAAAGCAATCAGCCCCACCCGGCCACCCCCCACCCCGTCGCCTGTCTCCTCGTCAGGTGGCTGCGTGCTCGCGGCCAGCGCCGACGGCCGGCGCACTCACCGCAGCTCAAGCCGACCTCCCCCACGAGCGCACCTTCCTCTCCTCCGGCCCCAACCACCTCCCGCTGCCCCATTCCCACCGTAGAGCTGTTGCTGCTCATGGCCCGGCCGGCGCAGAGGAGGCGCGGTGGCCGGGGATGGCCTGGCCGGCCGAGATGCGGGGCGTGGCCGCCACGACGGCTCGACCTCGACCCCCGCTCTTCGGCGCACTACTCGAGCAGGTCCAAGGCGAGGGACGCAAGGCGCGGTGGCCGGGGATGGCCTGGCTGGCCGAGATGCGGGGCGTGGCCGCCACGACGGCTCGACCTCGACCCCCGCTCTTCGGCGCACTACTCGAGCAGGTCCAAGGCGAGGCACGCAAGGCGCGGTGGCCGGGGATGGCCTGGCCGGCCGAGATGCGGGGCGTGGCCGCCACGACGGCTCGACCTCGACCCCCGCTCTTCGGCGCACTACTCGAGCAGGTCCAAGGCGAGGCACGCATGACTGGAGGAGCTCCTGCACGGCTGCACCGTTCCAGCAACCTCCTCAAATCCTCCAACATGGCCGCCTCCAAGATGTCCTGCACGGCGAACAGCCAAGATGCCAGGTCGGCCCGCCCGAGCCCGACGCCGCCGCCGCCCAACCGCCGCGCTCACCGGTGGCCGCCACCTCGCTGAGAGGGTCCGTCCTCGCGTGTGCTGACCTGCTGCACCGGGCCTCGCCGAGCCTCTCGTGCGCTGCTCCTACCAGCCGCAGGCGTCCACTGGAGGGAGTGTCAGCCGGCGTCCCCCACCGGACCGGTGGAACTGAAGAAACGGTGGCGGCGACGGGGGCACCGGCGCCCCCGCCGGTGCCCATGGTACGTCCGCCTCCGCCTCCGGAGAGGAGAGACGAGGAGGGCAGGGGCTTGATTGCTTTTTAATTTTTCTGAAGAGGGTGTCGGTGTAAAATCCTCTGCCTAACGGAGTTGCCTGCGAACCGTTAGGCCACGTCGGCAAAAACGGGACCCATCTGTCATAATCGTCATCAAAACGACCAAAGCCGCCAACTAGTGTTTTTTGCAAAAAATTAGAGAAAAAATTAATGGTTTTGGGCACAATTCCGTAAATGTGTGGTTCCTGCAAACCTTGCCTGAAGTGTCGATGTTTTTTGCAATTCACTGCACTTTTGGTTGTTTTGTACTAGTGTGTACTGCACTTCTTTCTAGTGCAATTAATTTTATCTGCTGCGCGCACCTTTTCATCTGTTCAATGCAAGTAGGTTACAACTAATGCACCAGTTGCTCGGTCGTGGTCTCCTACTCCAAGGCATGGACATGTATGCGCTATGGGGGTGGTTCATATTTAGACAAAGCACTTTAGCACCTACTCCGGTTGCTGCATCAGAAAGAAAGAGGAAACACAAATGGGTTTGGTCATTGTGGTCTCGTGCGTCGTCGGAATCTGCGTTTGCATGGGCGCAGCCCTAATTAAGGTGGTGTTTATCACGTTTTTTCATGGTCAACAACTAATAAAGCGCTACCTAAAAAAAACCTAATAAAGCACATGAACGAATGAGGAAATACTCGACGCGCTATCATCTCTCCAGCTACTGCTAATTAATTTCAAAGTCAATGGATTGCGATGCATATAGGTCTTCTGAATCCGTGTAACTAGTTGTCCTTCGAAGCTTGTGTTCGATTGAACCTTGCAGGCAACAACATACACACACAGAATCACACACTCACGATGCCATCCCCAAACACGGTTGCATCTTCAATCTTGGCTACCTTGAAACAGCTCTTCAAGTCTGACAATGTCACTGGCTTTGCTAGCGCGGAGCTCTGGGTGTTGGTGACCACGGCGGGCCTGGTGTTGAGGTTCCTGCTGGACTGCTTCGGGCCGTGGCCCACAGACAGGAGCATGGCGGGCTTCGTCCAAGTCATTGACATACTGAACTACTCCACAATGCAGTACACCTTGGGGCTGATGCAGCTCTCGGCGAAGAAGGTGAACGACTACTTTCAGGTCTGGGCAGTGCTGCTGGTAACCCTGCAGTACAGCGTCAAGACTGGACGCCTGTATCGGAGGTCCAAGCAGCAGCCAGTGCTCGACCTCATGTCGTCCTTCTGGGCAGCCAGTCTCCTCCGAGTGCAGACCTTCTTCCTCCTCAAGATACTTCTCTGGCTCATCTGGACCCTCAATGCGGTTCGCATAATTTCGTACTTTGTCTCATCCGACATGGCTGCGACCATCAACCAAGAGAACACAAGGCTGGTTAGTGACTATATGCGATACGAGCACTCACTGGGTCCTTCGGGTGATAAGGCCGAGTCTGACAATGGGATCAGGATGCAGTCGTACAAGTACTTGGTCAGTGGGGAAGATCTGGTGCTGCATGACATCCAACGGGAGAGGAAAACTGCATCAGCACAATACCGGATTCGGTTGGATCCGGATAATAAGAAGCTTGTCACCATGGAGAAGTTATGGAATGTTGATGCTGGCAGTAGTGGGTTGCTGGGTGCTTCCAAAGACACTGGCAACCGATTGAAGGATGTCTGCCTCTCATTCGCGTTGTACAAGCTGCTGCGTCGTCGGTTCTATAATCTCCCGATACATGAGGCTAGCCAAGAGAAGACGAGGCGGCTCGTCTTCGACTACATCCTGCAGGAGAACACTGACAACTACGAGAGGGCATTCCGCATCACAGAAGTGGAATTGTCCTTCCTCCAAGACTTGTTCTATAGCAAACATGCTGCCATGTTTGCGGCCGGATTTCCAGTCTTTGGTATGCTGATATCTTTGTTTCTTGTTGCGGCTACCGGCTACCTTGCATACCCTGTCCACTATATACCAGAGAGGATGGATCAAGCCGACAAAAATAGCATCACTCATGGAGTGATTGTCAGTTACATCATAATTGGCCTTATCTTCGCCAAGGAGCTGTCGGAGGTCTATCTATATGTATTCTCCAAGTGGACCAAGGTTCTGATGATCTGCATGTACGTCAAGCATCGGTTCTTGAGGACTCTGGTGGTGGAGGCTGCAATGAGGATGGTTTTCTCGTTCATCGGGGGTAAATGGAATCAAAGGATCTCTCAGTGTAACCTTCTGATTTCTTATTCGTGCAATAAGAAGAAATTAACCAGAAGCATCAAGTTGGAGTCAGAAGTAAAGACGATGATATTTCAGTTGTTTAAGGGCCTGCAGGAGGATCCAGAGAGGTTGGAATCCTACTTATTACATGCCTTTCCACCAAAGGAATCACCTATGAAGAACCTAGAAGAGGTAGTTGATCTGGAGGCTGATACCCACAGGATACTGGTCTGGCAGATCGCAACATGCTTATGCGAGATACACATCTCTGCTGAAGTGAAAAAAGTGGAGGCTGTAGGGCGTCAACATAGTGGGCTCTTGGCCAGAAAATCAACAACTCCAAAAGATGTGTGGCCGCATTACTTAACTGCTATCAGATTATCCAATTACTGTGCATACCTGCTTACCAGAGCATTGGTGCCGGACAATGGTATTGTTGTTACAAAGGTATTGGCCGCGGTACGTAAGGAAACCTATCGTGCTACTGATCGTTCTGCATCCCAGTCATTGCAAGATGTGTACAACAAACTTATGCATATTGCCACGAAGACCTCTGAAGAGTCGGGGGAGAAGGTGGCCAATGGAATGGGTTATTTGGGGGGACAATTAGCCCCTGGCAGTTCGGTGTTCATTGATGAAGCATTCTGGGCCAGTACAGCCAATGATGAGGAAGATCCTAACAGAACGGGAGCTGATGCCACTAACAGTTCCATACCAGCTACCAACAGAGAAGATAGTTTCGCCGGTGATGACGACATCGATAATTCAATAACCCAAATGGGTGCAAAGCTTGGGAAGAAGTTGATAGAGGCTTACGGAGAAGACACATTAGGCCTATGGAGGGATCTAGCAGTGTTCTGGACAGGTTTCCTCCTCCACTTGGCAGCATCAACCAGAGCAGCCAAGCATAAGACACGACTGGCTGGAAAGGCGGAGCTTATAACACACCTGTGGGTTTTGCTGTCTCACGCTGGGTTTCTCGGAAATACCAGGCACGGGCAAACACTGTTAGATCCACATGACCTTGATCATACCGACCCGCTCAGGTGATGGATTTAATGAGCTCAATCCATCATTGCACGGTCTACACCCACAGGTTCTCATGCCGACTTCGCTGTTGTTTTTCTGCAATCAGGTTTCCTCTTACTGTACCATGCCCAGCAAGTTTTATTTGTATTGCAACGATTTCGATCTGGTTTCCTTCCGTGTACCACTCCTGGCAATGTAGTTGTATTGCTTAAATTTCAGATTTTCTTTCAGTGTACCATGCCCAACAGTTCAATTCTGTAATTGTAGTGCATCTTTGCACCATGCACATGTTGTATTTTCATTTGGCTGTTGTGTCTTTGGCAGAGCAGGCATTACCTTCCAGTGTATATGCACAGTCATTTAAATTGTACTCCAGGATTTCGTGTGCCATAGCTGCAGTATACTACACTATTAAAACTTGGGTGCCAAAAATCTGTTGTTTAGTCTATCAAGTGAGGACCATAAACTAATTTACTGCACTGCAGAAAAATTGTTTAGCCGTCTTGCTCCAACAAGCAAGTGTTGACCACACGACATTCATTTTTGCAACTGAATCTGGCTTTGCACTGACAATGACACAAGTCAGTGAGCCAACTGAGCCAGAACTGCTGTAGAGTGAAATGGATTGTAAACCAGAACCAGTCGATAAATAGATCTTGTAGTGGAAGCTCGGTTCAGTGATGCGGATTGTGACGCAGTGCAATCGTGAATAGAACATAGAATTTGGTGCCTGATGCATGTCATCGCCGGTGCTATAGCTGCGTGAGCCAGCAATGGCGTCCATAGTTGGATAGATTACTGGATGCTGATAAGCAATTTGTGTCTGGATTTATAGGTCCTTCTAAGCAATTCTGTTTGACCAGACTAAACCCCAAGTAATTGTGTTACGCGTAGGGTTCAGTTTAATATGCAGGGCTCGTAAGTTTCAGACTTGGAACCTAAGCACTCTGCAGACTTGGAACCTAATCTGCAGGGCTCGTAAGTTTCAGTTTAATCTGATCATGGGCATAAACACACTGAGGACTCTAGGTAATTCAGTCGATCTACCGAGGATTCCACTGTATTAACCATGGAACGTTAGAGAAGTAGAATTAAGATAAGTGCTGAGGATAAAATCCACCCAAACCTGGGAGCCATCCGAGGAAATCAGCGGTGGTAGCGACTTCTCTCCTGGATCCGCGCCCCGGAATCGCTCCGAACTCCGTGCCACCTGCGCCTCGTCTTCTCGGAGCCAAGCCTCCCCCGCGCGCCCGCCGGCGGCGAACCGGGGCGGACACCATTGGCTCGTGCCGCAAGCCCTCCCCCGCGAACCGGGGCCGTGGGCAGACACCATTGCCTCGTACCGCAAGCTCAGTCGGCGTACGGACCTAAAAGGGGATCCCAGAATCACTCTGTCATAGTGTCATGGCGGATTTGCAGCGGCGCCGCCTGAGGAAGAAGCAGAGAAGAGCAGAGCAAGTCGGCGAGGAATCCTGATCAGCTGCCGAGTATCTGAGGAAGAAGCAGAGAAGCAGAGGACATGAGACACGTCAGATCCGGAGGCCGTTCGATAAACAATATTGCCAGGTTTTATAAGGGCATGTACAATACTCCCTCCGTTCCAAAATAGATGACCCAACTTTGTACTAAGTTTAGTACAAAGTTGGATCATCTATTTTGGAACGGAGGGAGTAGTTGATAAGATAGTCTTATCTTAAATCTTGTATGTAATTTAGAGATGAATTTTTTTTCGTCTACAATGGGTCATCTCTTAGCCTTATCTTCAATAATTAGCTATTTCTAAAAACATGGTGAGACATATTGTGCTAAGAGATCATCTCTTGTCTTATCTTAAATAAAAGAAGATAAGCCTTTTCTACCTTAAAAAAAGCATTTTCTTATGAGTTCTCTCTCCTCCACCTCATCGTATATCCTATGTGGCACTCTTAAGATAAGATCATTGTATATGCCCTAAAGGGATGAAAAGCTAATCATGCATGGGTTATTGGCCAGCACTAACAACTGGATGAACAGGCTCGACCTTATATTCCAACCGAGAATACTGATTTGCCACCCCTAAAAATTATAAAAAATTGCCATGAAAAAAATGCATCTTAAATTTTCCATTGTGCTATAGGATGAGATGCCATGATCTAGGACTAAAACTAGTGAGTTATTAAAATTTCAAACATGCCAAAATGGCACTACTGACCATTGCACATTTTGAAAAAAAAAGTTGCCATGCATGATGGAACAAAACATCCTAAATTTGCCATGTCAAAATGGATTTCCATGGTTTGTATGAATTACTAGCAAAAGGGCCCGTGCATTGCAACGGAACAAAAAGAAAAATCATAATATCCAGAGGCCATGACAACATTTCGCTGCATTTTGGCGAACATTCTGTTCAATGTACAATTTTATTAACATTTTTAATACATTTTTTTTCAAAATATCATGATATTTTTTGCTTTTCTAAACATTTATTTTCAAAATTACGAACATTTTTTAGAAAATTATGAATATTTTTTGAATCCACAAACTTTTTATAATTTATTGAACATTTTATTTCAACATTCTCCGTGGAGGTCCCTACTCCGTGGGCTGGCCCAAGCAGGGATTCCCTTCTGTGAAACGTTTTTTTATCAGTTATAGGTGGCATCAGTCGGTAATATTTTGCAACTTTGGGGCAATTTATGTGAAGTACCGCCAGAAGCACTAATGACTTTATTATTGGGTACTAACAAACATGTCTGTGCGTTGTAACGGGGAAAAATTCATCCCCTTATACACACTGGACGATACCAGCAAATCTCTTGAAATCTCCACACAAGAAACAACATGATAAGTGGTGTTCTGTGAAAATGTAATGATTGGATGATTTTTGAAGTGTACTCAAGGTGTTTTTAAAAACTTTATAGGCATAATTTCAAAAAATACGAAGATCAATATTAAGCCCAACATAGAAAAGGTATTAATTAAGGTTACACCATAAACTTTATTCTAGAAATGAGTAACATGCAAGACAATAGCATATTTGAAATCTAAATATTTTTCTGAGCGATTTTCATGTATATAACATGTTAGATTTGGAATTAGGGTTTGAAGAATGTGAATATTTTATAAAGCATTTGAATTTTCAAAAAAAAGAAGTGAAAAAGGGGTGGCATTGTGGTCGAACTCAGGTCTACTAAATGGGGTTGTAAAGCTTTGGCCAGTGGGATAGCTATATTGTTGTGTTTATTAAAGGTCGCACAGTATATAAACCAAAGGAAACGGCCCATGTAGCAAACCGAATCATTTTTCAGTTATGGGTGGCATAGTGAGTAATTTGTGTCAACTTCGGAATAATTTTAATGAGGGACGGGCAGAAGCAATAGCCCCTTTATTATTACTAGGAAATGTGCCCGTGCGTTGTAACGGGATAAACAAATCGTTTCACGTCCTTAGTGGTGACACATCCGTATTGCAGCGTCTCCTCTTCAGCATCGTTGTCAATGATAGTCACGTTATTCACTTATTCACAATAAAAGTGGTCAATCCTAAGGCAATGAGCTTGCTTACTCTAGAATGCCACTTCGCGAGCTCCTCTCTACAACGTCTTGTAATTCTACGGACTTATGATGATGGTGGACGCCATCCCAATCTCATCTCTACTTGATTCATGCACCATTCCTCCATTTTTATGCAATTGTTTTTTTCTAACGGTGTGGAATATATGATAGAGATAATTATTGTTGGATAAGTTTGAATCAATTAACAAAGGTCCTATGCAATGAAGCTCGATGGCAATGGCTAGGAATTTATTTGAATTTCACAACGGATTTCCTACACCTTCTCCGTCCTATCTAAAGCATAAGATATCCCCATCTGATAGCACCCTCACTACTAAAAGAACATATCGTGCAAGATTAAAAATTAGGTTATGGGGACGTGGTAGAGATTAAAAAAAACTTTTGAAACTTAAGCCGGGAAAAAACTTTTAAAAGGCCATTTAAAATACTAAAACCATAAGGTGATATTGCTGGAATTTTCACTAGTAGAAAAAGGGGCAAATCTGAGACACATTAGTGTCGGTTTGACTTTGAGCCGGCACTAATGTGTCCATTAGTGCCGGTTCCAACGGCTAGCCGGCCACTCACATTAGCACCAGTTTGTGGCGAACCTTTAGCACCGGTTCGTGCCACGAACCGGTACTAAAGAGAATGGTGGCAGGATGTTGTCAGTCTGGGGCCCGTCCAGCACCTTTAGTACCGGTTCGTGGCACGAACCGGTACTAAAGATCAACGTACATAAACCCTTTGTCCACCCGAGCCGCTCTGTTCTTCCCCTTTCCCCTCACTTCCTCTGTTCTTCCCCTCTCTTCCTCGAGCTCCTCACAAATTTTGCCCAAAATTTGTCAAGATTTGAAGGCCCCCAACCATTCAAATGATCACAAAGGTTAGCAATTTTGTCCTTTCAACTCTCATTGCTAGATTAGCTCTTGCAATGCTTTGTATAATGATTAATTTGGGAGGAATTATATGTGCTAGTATTTGATTTATATGCAATTTGAGGTAAAAAATAACACTTAGTTTGCATATGTAGGTGTGGTTTACTTAGTGCCTTCTAAATCTCCGTCATAACCACCGTCGATCGCCCGCACCGTCCCGTCGCCGGCACCACCTTGTGGTGAGGCTCTTGTTCATGAATGTTTTACATTACCAAATTGATATTTGTATGATTTGGATATATAGTTACTCGTATAATTATCTTACCCGTACGTTGTTTGTTATACATAGTGCCATGGTTTTGATATCCGTCCCCGTCGGCTCTCGTCCTTGTTATGATTCGGATGTGGTATATTCTCTTTTAAAACTAGTTGTTGCATTTCGTGTTTATGACAAATTATGCCCATCAAGTTGACATAGATATTTTTATCTAGGAGGTATGTGAACCGGAAATTCCAACCGACCCTATTGTCGAGAGGTCAAATTTAGTTGAAAGAGAAAACGAGTATTTGAAAGAAAAATTGAAAAGAATTGAGGGGGAGAAGATGGAAT